ATGATAATGAAGGTGTCCCAATAACTTTTGACCAGGATTGCAGTGTTAGGGAACTTTTACCCTCTTTTTGCGCTAATAAATGATGTATCTGCATTTTTTTCGTAGCGATACCGTCCACAAGCGAGCAGTGGATGCTGTTTGTGCAACGTACAAGACGCTCTACGACGCTATTGTGAACGATAGTAACAAATACCCGGATGTTAAAACTTTGGTGCCTCGCACCCCAGATCAAGTAACTTCGCTCCTGACGTAGCGAATGAAAAATTAATCCTTATTTTTAACCACGGTGTAAATAAATAGAATAAGGGAATTTCTTGTTCTCTAAAATAACCCAAACTCTACAGGTGAGGAAGTTAGAATTTTAGTTTGATTGAAAAAGTGATTAATCTTCTGGCTGTATTAATGACCGGTCCCAGTATTGCAGTGCACTTTAATAAACCCTTTTATTATTAAGGGTAAGTCAGTATGTAAATTCACCTTACATTGCTCATACATTTTCATACATAGTGGTAATGAGAATAAAGACACATATCAATTAGGGAATGATACAATGATGTAACAGCAGATTCTCTGCCTTCAGTTGAGGGAAGAGCTCTCAGATCTTGGAAGTGAAAATAGTTAATTGCTGAGGAGTTTCTTCGAGAGTTTTCTCAAGAATTTTGTGAAGTGCACGTTACATTTAGTTGTAAAGCAGAGAATCTTTGAAAACGACATTTTAAGAAAATTATGATTGATAAAAGAACGAAGAACATAATATTACATTGAACTCTTTTGAACGCGATCAAAGGAAAAAAGTGAAGAAAAAATAAAAGGAAAACTTATTTAAAATAAATTAAGGAAACAAGATTGCACAGCTTGAAATTTTGAATAAATCGTCACGGTAAAAGTGTTTGTATGCGATTCTTGTTGTTATTAAACTTAAACTGTCTTAAATTAGCTACGAGAGTTCAAAGTGACAGGCACAAGGGTGAATGTATGCAGTGTATGAAGTATGTTGAAACAGACATAGTTTGATGCTACTCTGGTTTGCAGATTTAATGAATGTAACTGAAGAAGTTACAATTCATAGACCCAACGTTTCGACACTCCTGTCTCTCACTGAATCTTACTCCCAACCTCCGCCACGCGAACATCCCAAGCTCATCTTAGGAGGACGATGGGGTTTTCCCTCTGAGCAAGGGTTTTAGCGAAACAGCAATGTAACATGTGTTGGCACACTGGAAGCGAAACGTATCTCTCGCCTTGCAATTGGGATGGCAAAACTACTAAAAAATTGGGTTTACGGCCAGCCCTTTTTAATCATGGTTTCCTTGTCGTGGCTGACGACGCGTCTCTACCGTCAAACGTTGCGCTATTGAATCTTTTGACTCAAGTGGAGGCTGTAGTGAAACACGAAATACCGAAATGTACGAGCCTTCCTTTTCTTTGTTCTGAAACTTTTAGCTTCTATAGATTTTTAGAGAAGCTTCTTGGCTCAGTTGGTAATAATGGCGGCAAGGATTTAAGGCCACTTTGAAGCGTCCTTCGTTTACCTTTAAGGATTCAGTTTCCACTTTTCCTCAGTAAATGAGATTCGTATTCTGATATCTCAATGACTGGTGGACTGAGGTGATTCTGCAGTTCCATATCTATTGTAATATGACTGACATCACACTTGCATGAAATACAATAAGACCACTGCTCGCTGTTTTTTTTTTTTTTTTTTGTATTAACATCCTGATTACTTTATTCAACGTCATTTCTTTCGGAATTTTCATTTCGTTTCCTCAGAAACGAACCGGCGTGGAATTGGCTCTCAAAAGCTCTGGTGACCATGTTTACACAGGTGTATACACTGGAATTCAAAGTGGTTGGAAAATATTTTTTTTTTTGAATTGTTTAACACGTGGTCAAGTAAGTTTCTAGACCAAACAAGAAACAGAAAGGTCTGTGTTGATTAAACGCTTCACAGAACACGAAGCGTCTATTTTAAAGCATCATGCGTCTATTTTAAAACATCATTTACTTCCATTCTGTTTACTTCTAAACGGGAATAGAGTAGTGAACGAATTTACTGTATCAGTGACAACTTTGATGATAATAAGTTAAATCTAACAAAAAAGTCCAAGCATACGAATCTCCACCCGAAGCTAAAATAGGCAATCGTTTTAGGACTGAGGTACAAATCGTGAAATTTTAAAAAGCATCAACAAGTTCCAGTTTCAAACTTCTGTCGTCAAAGGTGAGATATTTTGACCTAGTGCTTAATTCTAATGACAATATCCGTCCGATTCTTATTCTTTTTCATTCATTAAACAAATCCTTGGACGAAACACATGGCACCAAGCTGGCTTTGTGGACTAATTTTATTAATTTACGTAACTTGGTAGGTGTGATCTTTTTCTATTTCAAAGATCAGCTGACTTTCATTTTTCCCCGATCTCTTCACACAGTCGGTTATTAAATTGAGCAGGCTCTTGAAGAAAGAACCTCCAGTGCCTCCGCGTTTCGGTGCAAGTTACCACAGAAACATCCAGTTATCAAGATCACTTTTAAGCACACTAAGGTACGCTAAATAAATAATCCCCTCCGCCATGAACAAGAGGTTTATTTTTCAGATGTACAGACACAACCCCTTTTTACTCTCAGAAACATTGTCCCCGAATCGTCTTCAATTCATCAGTCCTCTCACCATCCCAACTAGCGTTCCATATAACAGCTGCCTAAACTAGTTGGCAAATACTTTTGAGTAAAAAATAAAGATAAATTATCACATTTTGTTCAACCGTTTTGCAATTCTCAGATGCTTCTCCACCCAGCCAGTCATTTTCCATGTGAAGCCGCGTTACAACTGACCAATACTAGGGCCGAGATGTTTAGTTATAATGAAGACCAGCTCCAAAATTACACAGACTATTTTACAGACTGGGATACGCCGCCACAGCAAATAGAAGGTCAAAAGCAAATCCAATACGAACCAGAAAAAAGCACAACTCATCCATACTCACTGCAGGGAAAACCACTAGATAATCGAAGGGAGAAAAATAGGGAAAGAGAGCGGAAAAGACAGCAACGTTTGAAAGAAGCTTTTAAAGTCCTTCGCACGGTGATACCCGACTACTTTTCAGGAATTGAACCCGGAGAAAGGCTCACTACCATTAAAACTTTAAGGCTTGCGAAGAAATATATCGCTTCACTACATCAATTGTTAGGAAACAGTTAGTTTAGTTTATCTGAACTCTAAACCTTTCGACTCCCATGAGTGACCAAGACAGAATTTCTCCTACAACATTAATACAATATCAACCAAATAAGTGATGAGAATAAAGAAAAATATCAATTTGGGGATAATTAGTTGATCCAATACTAAATTCTCTGAACTAACATTATAAGAATTGTATAGTTGACAGTGAGGGGAATTAAAAATTTGATCTGGGGGTTAAAAGGTTAACACGACTTTCATCATTTACAGTGCTGCACCACTATACTTTGTATGTTATAGTCTTCCCTGAATCAAAAAACAGTATCTTCTAACTCCAATATCTCTTAACCCCTTAACTGGGTTCATACATTGCAAAAAAACCCATAAATCTTTGAAGTAACTTTGTCTCTCCATCCAACTCTCTCATTGATTCCTTGCTTCAACATAATCTGATAATAGCCAATTGTTCAATCCATAACTAGTCCTTTAGAAATTTGCAGAGTACATTATGGCATACCTCAAATTGAATCTAGTAAGAAAGAACTGGCTCATGAACATCAGAACATCCAAATATTGATGATACTGATGTCTGATAATAAGATGTAAACAGAGGAGCAAAATTTGAACTGAGAACAAAGTCTAGGTATAACAGATGAAACGAGTGCTGTAAAGTAATCTCATTATTCCATTTAATTTGACACAGAGAAATCATCCTTTCAAAATTCTATAATAAATAGTGGAAGCCTTTCATTTCTATTTGTGGACAGGTAAAAAATTTCTTCCTTTTTTTTTCTTTAACCCCTTAACTCCCATGAGTAACCAAGACAGAATTTCTCCTTACAATACCAAGCAGACAAGTGATGAGAAAAAAGAAAAATCTTAATTAGGGAATTATTAGTTGATCCCTTACCAAGTTCTCCAAACTAACATCACAAGAACTATATGGCAGACAGTAAGGAGAATTACTAATGAGATCTTTGGAGTTAAAGGATTAACTCTCATGAGTGACAAGGACAGACTTTCCCCTTCCAAATATCAATACAATATCAAGCAGACATGTAATGAGAGTAAAGAAAATATTAATTACATGATCATTGGTTGATCCAATAACAAAGACTCTCAGAACTAACATCTGCTGTATGGTAGACAGAGAGGAGAATTAATAATGAAATATTGGGGGTGAAAGAATTAAATCAGTTTTTCTAGGTCAACTACCATTCATTTTAAGATCCTCATCATCATCCCACACAACTGTACAATCAAACACATCCTCAAAGGATTCTATAAAAGGTTCAATGGCATCCTTGGTTTGTACAACTTGGTTAGTCTCTCTTGTAAGTGATGTAACACCTTTACCAATAATCCCACAAGGTGTAAATTGTTCAAACCAACTCAGATCAATATTGCAGTTCAGTGCAATGCCATGAGTAGTGATCCAATGACCTGCATGAACACCTGTAAACACAAGTGGAACAGTAATTATAAGATAATTACCTCTTTGACCTTTAAGAGTGACTAACATTAAATAGGTATTTCCCAACAATATCCTTTCTGAATCAGACATAGAGTTCAGGAGAATAAAGAAAATGATAACATACTAATGACACTCTTGATTGTTCAACAATTCTCATTGTCAACACTCTAAGGGACTGTATAGAAAACAGTATAAAAAATATACATACTGATGCTGGGCTGTAAAGGGTTAAACCAGAAGTGACCATTATATGAGATCAGTCTCTCTGTAGTACAGCTACATGAACTGGATGCTACCTCTTAAAATGGGGGTACACACATGTTGAAAAATTGAGAGAGCAGGTCGATCTGACAGACCCTAAACAACACAGTAAATAATTATTTGAGAAGTTTCATATATTTACTGAATTTCCTGTGGCAATTTACTTAAGACAGTCATGTATCTCATTTCCTAGCAAAATTGTTCTTGTTCTATCTCTAAAGTCCAAGGTCCATCTGAGTCAGAATGTGCAAGACAAAATGCAAGAGGTTTGTGCCATTGCTGTTTAATGCTTCAGATTTTCATGGTGCGGCGATTCAAATTTGCAATTCTCGTACACATTTCCATACCTCACTGCATTTGCTGAGTCACGCACACATTAGTTTCACGGCTGCCACATGCATAGTATGATTCTAGTATAGGCAACAGGCATTTAAGAAAAGATTGAGGCATGAATTTGCCATACTCTGATCTGCAGAGTGAACTGAGATTTGCAAAATGACGTAGTAGCACTAAGATCAAGGCATGAACTTGCCATACTCTGATCTGCGGAGTGAACTGACGTTTGCAAAATGACGTAGTAGCACTAAGATTTTCCTTCCTTCATTGCCCCACCTCTTCCCATATAGAAAAAAAAATTTGGGGGGGGAGCTACGCTCCCTCCTCTTTGCGGGAAGTGCGCTGGTTCTTTTACGTCCTCTAATTTATCTCATAACAAACCATGAGCCTTTCTGTTCTCACCTATGGCAGCAATTTTGTTGTCCTTAACCCAGACGCCAGTGTCACAAGTTGTTTCTGCGTGAACACCAAATCTCTTACAAGTTTCTATCAAGGTTTTTTCCAAGGAAGTAACATACCATCGTAAACTTTTCTTGAAACAAGCTAAGTTTAGCACGGGATAACAGACTAATTGTCCAGGACCGTGAAATGTCACTAGCCCTCCACGGTTAGTATAGTGAAATTCAGCTCCAAGATCCTCCAAGCGCCTCTTCTCCTTGGCATCCACGCTCTTCTTTCGGATTCCGACGGTAAAAACGGGCGTATGTTCGTAAAAAAGCAAAACGTTTTTAGCACTGCTTGTTTCTTTGACTTTTATTTTTTCCAAGTGCTGTCTAGCAATCGCATTTTGAACTTCTAAAGCCGGTAGAAAACCAAGTTTCTCCAATTTTCGAGCAAATACCAAACGATTAACGGCCGCCATGTTGAAATACTATGTAGCCAGGCAAAAGAGATTTCGTTGCCAGCCCCTTAGGAGTTAACCGCGTGATTTCCAATATGTCGGACGAAGCCAGTTTGAAGTGCACCCATGTAATATTTGACTTGGATGGATTGATGTTAGGTAAGTTCAATTATTTATTTCGCTTACACGATTCCAGGACTTGTCAGGAATAACTTCCACGCATCCAAATTTTGAAAAAATACCGGATTGTGGTACGCAAAAAATATACAGCTATAACCTGGCTGACTTTATTATTCCATGAGACGAATTTTGTTTACTGCTAATTAAGGAAATTGCAAATCGGCAACCGAGATGAATAATTTGAAAACATTCAAATCTCAATAATAATAACCAGGCTGGAATTATTTATGAAAATTTTACTAGCCAACCTTTTGGAAACATTCCCATTTCTCCCTCTTCTATTTTGATAACGAGAAATTTTGACCATCAAAATAGGACGAAAAGAGCTTGATATTGAGAGGGGAGTAAGGTGGTTGCTTCTTAAAAGAACACTGTAAAAAATTTATTCTGGAAGAGCAGCAAGGCAAGATCTCAGAAATGTAGCCAGCCCATTTTACTGAACTTTGATGTTGACACCTGGACATATACATACATTTAACTTTAGGAGACTGTGGTCTATGATTGAATATGTTTTGTAGACCAGGAAGGTTACAATGCATTTTTAGGTGTTGACTGAATGAATAGTGGTTCATTAGGAAGTAAGAAGGGTGCTTCTTTTGCATAAGGTTGCAGGTGGCACCTGCATGCTGTTAATGATATTTGTGTTCAGAAGTAGTCTCTGATGAATATAAGACATTTTACTTAATATGTATTTTTATGAAATCAAAGCCGCTAATCTTGGACTCTAGCAGAGCAGGAGGTTCAAAAGAGTGAGAGGTTTGGAGGCTTAAAAAAATTATACAAAGATTACAGGACATTCATTAGGTTTCTGTGGACTGGACATTATGTAGTATACCAACTTGGCAATGGTTTTTGACTGAAAATTACACTCTCTATTACTTTTGAGCTCAAGGTATTGTTGAAAACAATTTATGAAGGCAGTTTACCCACAGCTGTGCAGAGTACAGGGGCATGGCAAGGATTTTTTAAAGGAAGGAGAGAAGGGGATGACACTGTGTCAAGCAGAGGGTGTTCACAAGTTTTTGCCACCTGAATATTGTAGATTAATTGCTTAAAAAGGCTTACAAAGGGGGAAGGGGGGATCACAGGTGCCCAGTACTCCTCCTAGCTACACCCTTGGAAAGGAGTTGTTGGACCCTTGAATGTTGAGGGTCTGAAAATAATTGTGTGAAGATTCAGTTACATTATTTACCTAACTTTGATTTTTTTTAATTTCAATGACATCTTTTGATAGAGATTATTGCATCAGTTATAAGTTAGTAAGAAGTCTTATAATTTGGTCATTAAGTTTAACCCTTTAACTCTCAAGATCTGATTATCAATTCTCCTCTCTAGCTGCTACACATTTCCTTGTTAATAAGTTATGAGAATTTGGGGTCAAATCAAGATAACAACTTCAACCTGATAAGTTTGAATGTTCTCATGACCTGTTTACTAGATAATGTGTACATATTATAGGGAGAAGTTACTTGTTAATCACTTCTAAAGTGATTAAAGGGTTAACATGTTCTCTTCCACCTTTCCATAACTTTGTAATATATCAACTCAGCTAATGAATTACACTCCACTTATCAAAACAGTCCTTTTTCAGGACTTTTTTCACCTGGATAATCAGACTCTGTTATTTATGGTTATATCAATAATCTTTCAATATTTTGCACCCTAGATACAGAATCAATTTACACCAGAGTGACTCAAGAAATACTAGACCCTTATGGCAAGACATTTGATTGGTCAGTGAAATCAAAGATGATGGGACGCAGCCCAATAGGAGCTGCTCAGGTTTTGGTAGAAGAACTTCAGCTGCCACTGACATCTGAAGAATTTGTTGAGTCGTCAAAAGAGAAACTCCTGCAGTTGTTTCCATCAGCTCCTTTGTTACCTGGTATGAATGTAATTCTTTTAATCAGGCTTGTGAGAGAAGAACAGATGGTGGGTTGAAAGTTTTAAAAACTATTTTTTTTCATTTGGTCATTGATATAAGGGAAGACGATAATTCCAAAATCAATATTTGAGAAGCTAGTGAGAAACACAAAGGTCCAGTGCTCAGTGCTATGGACTCAAGGTTGAACATTAATTTAGCATTATTAATAGAGTTGATAACATAAATTGACCACTGTAAAGACTTTAAAAGCTGGTGTTTGAGTGTTAGCACTTTGTCAGAGGTGGAAATTCCTCCAATCACTCTGAAAAAGAGCTAGACTTCAAACACCAGCTTTTAAACTCTTTACCATGGCCAATCTACATTATCAACTCAGTTGATAATGCTAAATTACCCTGTTATACTCTTCCACTGATGCAGCACCACAGTTTCTTTAAGAACTTACCCCTTTATCCAGATTAAAAGGTCTGTTTTCTTACCCAGGTTAGGTCATTGTGTTATGTTCTTGAACAAGACACTATTCTCTCATGCTACCTCTCTCCATCCAAAAATATTATTAGACATCACCAAACTGTCAGGGAAACTGGACAAAATACTGGTGGCAACTAGATTATGGGTAGCCTATTTGCAGGCATACCTTTCCCCCCATCCTCCCTTCCGTTTCACCTAGGAGGGAGGATACTGCCACATGTAGGCTATGGGATGAGCTGGATTCCAGTCCATAGGGAGTAGCAATATATCTTGCCAATTCTTGTTTCTGAAACCAAGATAAGCTCTAACAGAATGGCACCTCTGGCTTGTAACCTGCCTTAATGTGAATGCACGAAGCTTCTGTAATTTACCATAGGGCAAAAGGCTCTAAATGCTGGGTCTTGACTAGTGACCCAGGAAAGCCAAAGTCACCAAAAGTAAGTATTTCATCAATAGGTCATTTTCAATATATTGAAATTCAAACTTGGCTCTGAGGCTTGGGGGAATAAAACAAAAGAAATCACATCAAGATTGAGGGATGAATAATTAATTTCTTTTACTTTATTCTCCCCAGCCCTGGATCCATTTTAGAATTTTAATACATCAAAAATAGACTATTACCACTTGGAGGAAACACCATGAGGGTAAGGGAAATTGGTCTGCTTAGAATTGAGGTAAATCAAACTCTTTGTAACAAAAGAGGATAACCTGTAATAACGAAAACAGGTGTTGAAAAAAACTTAATTGCGGTATGGGCAGGGCCCCATTTCCGGAAAATCCTGCCTATGTCCCTGATCCAAATGAATTCCTGATTGTTATTATTCTTGCATTTATTTTCTTTTTTTTATATATATATATATATTTATTTACCTGTAGGAGTAGAAAAGCTTGTTCGTCATCTTCACAAGCACAAAATCCCCATTGCAGTTGCTACAGGATCTAGTGCATCCCAATACAAAATCAAGACATCGAATCACAAAGACCTCTTCCAGCTTTTTTCGCACACTGTGAAATCTGACGATCCAGAACTGAAACACTCTAAACCTGCTCCTGATATTTTTCAATTGGCTGCCGCGAGGTTTCACGCCCCTCCCACCTCACCACGTCACGTGCTTGTACTAGAGGACGCGCCAAACGGAGTCACAGCTGCACGCGCCGCTGGAATGAATGTTGTCATGGTACCCGACAAGAGGGTAGATAAGTCAAAATGTTCGCAAGCTCATTTGGTTCTTGACTCACTCGAAGAATTCGATCCAACCGCTTGGGGTTTTCCTCCCTTTTGACCGAAAAACAATTCCTAGACATAGATTGTGCCGATAAGAATTATCATACATTAATAAGCTTTTCACGAAAATTTTGTAATCATTCACGTCTGAGATAGATTTTCAGTATAACGTAAATATTTAAATGAGTGGTTCGGACAGGTATCAGTGTGTCAAATTAAGAGCGAATGCATATTTATCCTCTCAAATATCAGTATTGCTAAATCACAATGTCTTCATTTAAAGTGGACACGAACCAAACGAATCTTTGTAGTAGAACATTCATTCGACTACCGAGAATTCGAGCCTTCAACGGAAATTGAAAAAGGGTTCGAGTTATTGGGGCTGAAAACAAAGGACTGGAAATGAGGGAAAACGGTGTTTACTGTTTTAATATTCATACAGTGTGCATTTTAATCGAAGTTTTTTGTATAGAAGTCGAGTGAAAATGGAACACCAAATTATTGTTGAAATCAGAAAGTAAAGTAAAGTGGCTGCTTCAGAATAAATTAAATGTTTTGAATCACAGTACACTGTTTTGATTTGTTGTTTGATGACAGACGTGGTTCGACGCGGGTAGAAAATTATCTGAAGGGAGACGAAAATTGCCTCGAATTAGCGGGGGTTCGAGGTATCGAGGGTTCGAGGAATCGAGTTACCGAGGGTAAGACTGCAATAAATTTATGACGGAAATCCAAGTGAAATTGATTTTGGTTCAAGTTAGCGAGAGTTCGATTTATTGGGAATCGACTGTATTGCATCCTGATCTTACTGAGTTCCGCTAATCGATCCAATCACTATCCACGAGTTTTACGGGAAATTTACCAAATCCTTTGACTCTAAAGAGTGCATGTGATTAGCGTCTAATTTCTCCCAACAATATCACCCCTGAATCACACTTTAAGGCCACGAGAATACGGGAAATATTCACCAACCAAAGAAGCTCTTGATGATTAAACAAGTTCTCCTTGTCAGCGCCGTAATAGATGGCAAGAGAACAGTACGGAGAATATGCATACTGATGATAGGGTGTTAAGGATTAAGTAAAGGACTAATTTATTCACACGGATACTCTGGCAAATAGAGGAATAATCTGCTATTTTAAGGATCCACCATAGTATAAATTGCAAGTTGGTATATAGAGCAGCGCAGCGCAGCGCTTGCTTTATATTTAATCAACAGGTTGGCGCTTATTCCAAGGATAAAGAAAGGCGCTTACATGAATCTG